ATTACTACGACCACAATTACCACCCCTACCACCACTACTACTCCTACCTGCTGCTGATGCTGTTGTGCTTACTCCCAGTGCTTCCTTGCTTTTGCGGCTATCATCACAATGCTTGTAGTGGCAGTATTAGCGTAGTACTTAGTCGTAATGGTGGTCGTCGTCGTAGTAGCAGAAGTAGTAGTCGTCGTCGTCGTCATCGTAGGTTTAGTAGTAGTTGTAACTCGTACCAGCATTAGTACAAGTAGTACGAATGCGAGTAGTATTTTTTTTTATAGTTTTTTGGCGGTATTCGTTATAGCATGTTATAGCAATAGCAGTAGCAGTGGCATTGGTCCCAACAGAGGAGAGGGTCGGACCCGAGTGTCGAGTTTCCGAGGTCGGACCGTCGACAGAGTGCATTGAACATGGTGCGACCCTACAGCACACGTCTGGCAACCATTCGTTGTAGTTAAACAGTGGTTCCATTGCAGCAAGAATTCGGCCCTCGGTGATTTGGGCTTTCGGGACTGTTTCCAGGCTTTCTCAATGCGTACGACTCTTGCTCAGAAATTGAGATTTCAGGCTTGGGTTTTTCCTGCGAGGGGCGCTGAAATCTCACTGGGCACGGAGTAAATTTGGCATTTAGGGGGCTTTGGGAATCACGAGCTGCTCCCCAGACATTGTGGTACACTCTCTGCGATTCTTACAGCAGGCGCGCCCGCCGGGACGCAGTCCCGCTGTGGTGCGGTGCATACTTTGGGCTCATGTGCCATTATTTCAACATTCCCGCTTTTGTTGTAGATTCCAATTCATTGGCTTCACTTTGGCTTCGGGATACTGAGGTCGGAGAGTACAGGGCGCAGCATTTTAGCCGTGGCATCCCGGTAGTCTCTCGATGCTTTCCTGGTGATCAGCTGGTCTCCGGGTTTCCTGTTGGTCTCCTGGATCCCATGGTGGTGTCCTGGTCGTCTCTTGGTGGTGGGTATAAGGTTGCTCGCTTACGCTTTGACCACCTTGGATGGGCAGGTCTTGTACGAGCAGCTGCGAGAAGATTGCGGAGTGGAGAGCTTATCCAAGTTGCAGGGTTACCCCACGCCGGAATGGCGTCAATGTGATAGACGGTTGGAGCAGTCCCTGCTGCACTTTCATTGCCAAGTTGGTGCACGAAGCTGTCAGGCATTTGTACATCTGTACGCACAGATGCTGACATGCTTCACACGTGGATAATAGGGTGCCCGTATGTGCCTATGGACCTGGTTTAGTTGCCCATCATGCTGAGAGTCGTCCCAGGGCGCTGCCGCGAAAGTTGCCGTGAATATACCCGCGCCCGCGGCGCTTGGAACTAGGCATAGGGCTGCTTCATCACTATACACCCTAAACCCCGAGCCCTAAATCCTAGACCGAGAACCCCTCAACCTACACGCCCTAAACTCCCTAAACTCAGAAAGCCCATCAAATCCGGGGCGGTCAGGTCACCATGATCTTCTGCGTCCATCCAGATCGGACGTTCGCCTCCGCAGCCCGCTCCACGCGTGGGCCCTGAGTCCTTCGTAATAAAGCTTGATATGATACTTTCTAATATACTATGATTTGAGACTTCTCAGAGATTTGCAAGAATCGAAGCAGGAGGAATATGGGTTTTGGGCTTAGGCGCTTCATTATTCAACGACCGCTTGATATGGATTCGCAAACTGCAGTGCATTTCGAGGGGGGAATGCTTGTAGGTGGAGTTGTGGCCGAAGCCCGGAATATGCGAGGCTGAGTTTTTTGTGCAGCCGGGCCACAAATAGAGGTGTGAAACTAAAATGACACCTTACTAGCATCAATTGGGTACCGCGTCTCGCCACATCGTACTGCAGTGTTTGTCTTTCTGCAGTGCTTTGGATGCTTGTTATTGTGCCTTTGCACAGCTTCTTGGGGGAGGCAGGGAGCTACAGGGCCGAGCGGCCTTTTCCCAGCTATCTTGAATGGGGCTTTAGGGCTTTAGGGTATACTATACGCTAGTTTTGGAGCTCATGCTGCGCCGCTGGTTCGATTCGAGCCTCTGGAACAGCCAGGGAGAGAGACAGAGAAAGCAACCCTAAACCCTAAACGGAAAAGGGAGCCCGCATAGGTGGGATGCGAAAACCCTAAACCCTAAACTTGCCCTAAACCGTGCGAGTAGTCGAAACCGTGCGCTAGAACAAGGGGTCAGGACGTCAGGGCAGCCTCGCGTGTGTTACAAGACGGCGGCACGGTGTCTGTGCGGTCCTGCAAGAGTTTTCCATCATGCCCATCCGGTTCGCCAGATTGATTCGTTATTCCAGGTTTCGGCACCAGCCCCTTGGGACCACAGACTTTGCACCACGGTAGTGCTTCTCCGCCATCAGATCCAGAATATGCCCGCCTGCAATGTGAAGGAGGTAGCATGTGCTTCGTCCGTATGCGCATTTTGGCTCACTGCATGCGTAGGGCGGGGAAGCTATGGCGGATGCGCTGGCAGGCGCATCCGTGATCTGAAGTCCAGAGTCTGGCGGTGAGTAAAAGGAACCAGAGTACCTCTTGGACTCGGTGTTTCCGCTTCATGCAGTCATGCTTCATCGCTACAGGAGGATGATGTGAGCGTAAGTCCGACACCGTCTTTGAGGATCATGTCTTGAGGCCCCGTTCTTGTCTAAGTGTTGTACACCGAGAAGTTCTACCTCTCCTGCAGAGAGTCACCCTAAACTTGTCGCCACATGAATCGCGCCAGGATTGTCCGATGTATGCGCCGAAACTTGTTTGGCTCAAGCTATTTGGCTTGGACATACCATTGCCACCCCAAATTCCGTTACATATCTGCAGCAAGGCGCTCGAACTGTGCAAGCAGTCTCCTGCGCCGGATCTTCGACTCTCCAAGAAACTCGCCTCTCCAAGAAACTACCGGACATGTTTGCGAATCCATCTACACTCTCTTCCTTCGCACAGGAGTTCCAGCCAAGTGGAGCTGCTCCTGTGCAATCCATGCAGAATCCATATTATTCGTCCCCGGGCAAATACTGCCAATACCGTGGCCAGGAGCAGATGCAGCAAGCCACCATGGGTGGCTACTACACGAACACGGGGTATGGCTACGACTGCTACCAGAATGTGGCCTACCCCAGCGCAGCCTTCACCGGTGACGGCTACAACCAGGGCTACTATGGAAATGGCCAGTACACCAACGCCAATCTTGGCCACTACTCCAAGAGCACCTACAACAGGGAAAACCGCAACCCTCGTGCAGCCGCAATCAACCTTGATGACTTCTCTGACATCTCCGATTCAGATTCTGACGCAGACACCCCCAGCAAAATCACTTCGCCAGAGAAGAAGGTGCCGGATGCCCTGGAGACCTCCAGCGATACCTCTGAGGATGCTGAGCCGGCAGAGGAGCCCTCACCGTGCGCCGCCGCTGAAGCTCCGGGTTTGCTGGAGGAGAAGACTTCCAGCCCTCAATCCTCAACCCCCAAAAACCCAAAACCCTACTGTAAACTCTTCAAAACAACCCATATATGGACCTATATTCCTCATAACAACCCTTACAGTACCTGTACGGTGAACCCGTTTTTTTTTTCACTCGCTGATGCCATCCTCTTGCGAAGAGGACGCCACCTCAGACACAGAGCCCTCACTCAGCTCCACTGCTTCGGAGCCGGAAGCCGAGGAGCTTGGCCCGATGAGCGAAGTGGACTCAGAACCGGAGACGGTCTTCAGCCTGAAGCAGATGCTGATGTGGCGTGACGCCGTCTTGAAGTCGGAGAAGCCACTGATCCTCTATCGCACCCAGGTCGTTGAAGAGAAAACTCCTGTAACGGAGCCGGTGCCTGTGACCAAGACTCCCAAGGGCAAGGCTAAGGCGCAGGCCCAGGTCTCCAAGAGCAAGGCTGGAAAGCTAGAGGTCTCTGAGAATTCCTGGACCGCCCAGCAGCGCAAGCTAAAGTCGGAGGCGTCCCATGTCGACGGCTGTGAGCAAGTGGCCCGTACCATCAAGTCCATCTTGAACAAGTTGACCCTCGAGAAGTTTGCGAGCCTCTCCCAGCAACTTCTGCAATGCGGCCTTCGTACATCCACACACGTCGAGGTGTTGATCCACGAGGTCTTCGAGAAGGCAACCACGCAGCACCATTTCATCGACATGTACGCCGATCTTTGCGTGCTCCTGCACGAGCACTTCACTGCACACCCCTTCGAGAATTGCTCTGGAGGAAAGGCCGATGGGCGCAAGATGACTTTCAAGAGGCTGCTGCTGGATGAGTGCCAGCTGTCTTTCGAGCGCCTGCTGTCGCCACCTGAAGGCCTCGAGCTCCTCGAAGCAGAGGAGCGCACGGCGGCCGAGGTCCGCTACAAGACAAGCATGCTGGGCAACATCCGCCTCGTCGCTGGCCTCCTCTCACGCGGCATGCTCGCCTGCAGAGTCGGCATCGCCATCCTGGAGGAGCTCCTGTCGAATCCTACTCCGGAAGCCCTGGAGTCCATCGCCGCCATGCTGACGGTGCTGGGCCCAACCGCCGACAACAAGGACTGGCCACAGTACAAGGCCTTGAACGCCGTCTTCGACCAGATCTCCACCATCGTGAAAGCCAAGAAATGCCCTGCTCGCGAGCGCTTCCTCCTAAAGGATCTCTTGGACCTTCGGAGCGCTCGCTGGGTGGACAAGCGGCCGAAGAAGATCGAGCGGGCAATGACGCTGGCCCAGGTGGCTGACAGCGCCTCCGGCCGCAAAGTGGAGGAGCGCCTGATTCGCAAAGTGGCCTCCACGCCTGCTCCGGTCACGGCATTCCCGGCCTACGACCAGGAGAAGTTCCGCGAGGGCACCAAGAAGGCATTGGTGGAGCTGCGGCACAGCGGATGCTTGGAGGAGGCCGTGAAGAGGATGAAGGCCGAGGCCCTGGGAGTGCCACCAGAGAAGGATCAGGCTGCTGAGGTTTCTGAGATTCTCTGCTTTGCTGTGCAGGAGGCTGCGTCCTCTGTGCGTGAGTTGGATCTCAAGGCTCTGCGTCTTGTTGCGGAGAGCTGGAAGAAGGATGTGCTGGCACAGGGTGCTGGCCTCTTCGTCAAGGACATCGCTCCCGACTTGGCCTTTGATGTCCCCGGCTTGAGCAAGATCCTGTCGGAGGAGGTGTGCGTGCTGCTTCCCGAGGCAGCAGATGCTGTGAACATCTTCCTGGGTTGAGGGCCGGTGAGCTTGCTCGACATCGCTTGGAAGCTGCATGAATATTCGGCTTGCTTTTCGACAGAGCCGATCCTTTCCGTTTCTTTTCGCCTCAGATGCTCGCAGCCCACCTTCCTGTCAATCGCCTTCCTGCTTAGCCCGATGTCCGGTTCGGGCGGGTGGGGAGGTGATCGGATACTCTGCACATAAAAAGCCTTAAAGGTCTGAAGACGGGTCCCGCAGCAGTTCAGGAAGATGCTGGCTGCAGTGAGCGCTGTCTTTCGATTGATTCGTAGAACACTGTTGGTGGTGGGTGAGCGTCACTCGCCACCTTTGGCAGAAGTTTTGTGCCAACGGGAGTCTAGTTATGAAGCAGGGCTCGGCATGGATCGAACAGGATCCCCGCTATGCAGCTGATGCCATGGGCCACCTTGACGGTTGATGGCACGGTTGCCGAAGGTTCACAATTCATCTGTGGGCCGGGTTTGGATCTGGCAACGGGGAAAGCCTACAGCACAGGCTGGAGACATGACTGGGTCCTTGTGAGATCCCCACTCAAGCAAGAGATCGTTACAGAATATTGGCAATGTCCTGTGACGCTGTGGCGTGGTTTACTCGCCTGCAAGCTTGAGCAGGGTCCCTCAACAGCAGCCCAGATAAAGGCCAATGAAGCAGGTTCTCCCGGCAATCTGCCTTCAAGCTCCCGCCTTTTTCTGGGAGCCCGACTGGTGCAGAAAAGCAAGCGGGCACGTGCTGCACACCTGCGAAGAGTCAAACCTCATCCGGCCATGAGGGCTCTGCAAACCGGAGCCCCCAAGGGATCCCCAAGGGCCAACCCCCCCCAAACTCCCCACTTCTCGCCCGGAGCTCCCGAGTTCCGAGTCCGACTCCCGGCCAGGCCTGGACCTGCCAGGGACGCCGGAGGGCTCCGGTGCTGGGGATGTGGTGACGCTTGCCTGCTCGGGTTTTTACGGGTTTAAGCTCAGGGGGCGTTTTTGGGGCTTCGGGAAAGGGTAAGAGGCGTAGCAGGTGCTGCGAAACTGCAGCGGAGGAAGAGCTTTCGATTTTGAGACGCGACCCTCCGGGGTCAACAAGTGCACTGACAGACCGATTGCAAACATCCTACTGAGTATGGAGCATGGTTACCTTGGACTTATTGAGTTATATCTGAACCCTGAGTAGCTGAGTAGCTTGCTTTCCTGCTGCGGGGCACACAAGCATGAAGGACTCGAGCCGGCTTTCAAGCCAGCCTGTACCTGCAAAGTACGCCGGATCTTCACACTTGTGTCTTCTGGTTTCGATCTCAATGCTTAGGACCCCACTGGTTGCGGCGTCTTGGCAGCTTTGTATTCGTACCAGTCGTCATGTATGTGCAAAGGGTGTCAACCGGTGCTTGCGAATTCTGCTTCGCATCGTTTTGGTGCAGCTACGGCGGTGTAGCTCACTTCTGTGCAGGGTCTAGGGTCCAGAGGTGCCTGGCTTGAAGGATGTTGGCTGCTTGCAACGCTAGTCGAGGAATAGGCCTTTGCCGCAGCTACCTGATGTGGGCCCCCACAATGCACCTGACTTTGACAACCAGACAGTGGACGGGTCTCGGGTGAGAAAAAACGACAGCCGGCTCTTTCGAACCCATATATATATATATACATACACATATATTTATACATGTTGTGTGTATATATGTATATATACAAATATATGTAGAGATGTTCTGTCTCGAATTCTAAAAGCGACTGTGGAATACGGGCGAGTCTCAGCCAGAGGTTCCTCCCAGCCCTGCAGAGAGTGTCCGCCTGCCGGCCATCGGGGCCCTGAAGAGGCAGGGCCTACTTTGAAGAACGGCGAATGGTGCTTCCGGGCATGTACGATTCGTATGGTTGGATGGGCTTTGGGCGTGATGGCCACGCCACCAGTCCTAATATTGTTGAGACATCCATTGACCCGGGAAACTGGGTCCCG